TTTTATGATATCGTCAAACATATATTTTATTCAAAAATAAAAACATCATCGCTTTCTCAAAATCACATAAAGCCATATTATAACATCGACTGAGATAAATAATAAAATAAAATATTAAAAACACGATGTATCTCGCTGCATTGCGCGAGTACGCTTCTAGTATTAAAAATGCCTTAAAAACTTGTCAATTAAGACATTTAAAAGCATCCTTTCTACTTATTACTACGTCTTTAAATAAGACATTTTATATTTTATTCGTATAAATTAAGTCTTATAAAACAGCTTATTAAGATGTATAGAAATTGATAAAAAAAATATAAAATAATTATAATTATTTATTTGAATATGCTTTTCTTTCAAACAAGGCACATTCGCATCTTCACAATTCATGGGTCCATGTCACTATACCATAAATAGACACATGATTTTCTTTTTTTATTTATTTACGAAAATAAAAGTATTTATGAGTTTTCAACATATATCCATGAGTGTTGATTAAGGCATGACAACAAGACAGAAATGGGGCGAGTTTTGTAATCCCCAGCCCCGGTTTTTAGTAATAGTCCTTGGCTCCGTCTCCGATCTCTGGCGGGTATAGGGATTAACATCTCGTCGTCCGGTCAAACCCTTGTCAAACTCCATGAAGAATATCCGTTAGTTTGAGTCTACCGGGAATCCATGGCCCCGGCTCCAATCCCGGTTTGAGTAACATCCCTCGGCCCCGAGACCCGTTTGAGCAGGAAATCCACGTCCCCATTCAAGTCGGGTAAGCCGAGTTCCCCACTTGATCGAGGTAAAATCACCATTCTTAGCGTTGACTAGAGCTGCAAAAGCAACCAATTAACGTAGATATACTGTATATATCAAATTTATGTGAAAATTAATGATTATGTTGTTTTTGTAACGTAAAATGGAATAATTTAGTTGTTATTTTTATTTTTCGGTAGTTAATACGTTGTTTATTGACAATCTCATGATGGATGTGTACTCATTTATATTTGTTTAACGTCGTAGTCGATAAATAAAAGAAAACACAAAGAAACTGAATTTTTTGTAGTTTCTTTTTTTTATATTTTCTTACAAAATTTGAAAAATGTGGATCATTATGATGCTGTTTGGCAGTTACTGAATAATTTAGTGCAAAATGATTAAGAGACTCTCATGATATACTGCAAAATGAAATATAATTGATTAAGCGAGACCCATGACACAAAATAATTCAGAAGGTCTTATAATCATTAAGAGACAAACTTTATTTTGTCAAGCAATATTCACCTCTTAACGATTCAAATATTGTCTCTTAATGAAACTATTAAAAGGTAAAGACAACAATGGTAAATTATTAGTAATAAAAAGCATAAAACCATAACCTTGAAAAAGATCGAAGGGCCATGAGCCCAATGGATTTACGTAGGTAGGAAAGGGCCCAAAAAGGAATTTCAAGCCCAATGGATTATTCAGAAAATGGAAAAATAATGCGGTGAACGTGGATCGAACACGTGACCTTCAGATCTTCAGTCTGACGCTCTCCCAACTGAGCTATCCCCGCTGATACTTTCCTTCTGAAACTAATTTATATAAACCGATATCATCTGTAGATTGTATAAACTTCAGGGGTAAAAGTAGAACATATATATAGTGAAAGGTTAAAAATGAAAATTTGTTCCAGAAAATGCAAAAGGAAATGCGGTGAACGTGGATCGAACACGTGACCTTCAGATCTTCAGTCTGACGCTCTCCCAACTGAGCTATCCCCGCTATTTTGTTTGTATATTACCTCTCATAATTATAATTGTAAGTTTTTTATATTTAATTTATAATATTGATGGTTAATATTATGATTGCTTATTATAATTATAATTATAATTGTAATTTTAAATTAAATTACATTGTTTTTAATGTTTTTTTTAACTAAATGAATACCCGAGGGTTACACGAATTCGATGGGGATTCTATTCCTCCGAACCTGCTAATCGGGGCAGGGTCAGAGATGGGGGCTTAAACGAGGATCAGGGACGGAGGATGCCTTACCGACCTAATACCCGTCACGTTTCCATCCCTAACCGAGATGTACCAGATTAATTATCTTCTAAAACGTAATTCATTGGTGGACATGAAATTAAAATTGATTAAGAATTCAGATATCTTCTTATGCTTATTATGCCTCTTATCTTAGCTCTTTTTTCTCACAAGATCCTTTGCGCGCGCACACACACACACGCACACATATATTATAATATGGAGATATCTTTTAATTGAAATTTTTATTGAAATGATGAGATTTTATTTATTATGATTTAAATATTTATGATTTGTACTAATAATTAGGTTTGTAAATGGAACGCTCTCTCTTTCCGAAGTACTGAGTGGCGTCTCGTGCATCGCTTATCTTATTTTTGCAAGTAGTTTTTTTTTTTTTTTTTTTTTGTATGAATGGTACACCCGCTAACAGGTTTGTCCCCATTTTTTGGGGGTTTTGAACTCACCGGTTATACCCACATTGAACTATAGATTGTCTTATACAAGTAATAAACAAAATAAAATGTATAAGTTCATATCATAATAAAAAATTTACAAATAAAAAAACAACAAAAATGTATTTGTCGTTTTTGATCGGCAAATTTTGAAATTAAATACCTGTTTTTCATTTTAAAAGAAATTAGATAGTTCATCATTAATGTGAGTTCACATGTTTATATAAAATTAATAAATCATACTCCAAACACAAGTAAAATTTAAGGGACCCGTTCAAAAACTCATATTTAACATGCTAATAAATGGTCATGTCAGCTAAAATTTGAGGAGTGCTTCGACAAAATACAAAGAACATCAACCAAAAATTCCCTCAAAATTAAACAAAAAATTGAAAAAGTCTTTAAATCAACCATAAAAACTTAAACCCCCCCCCCCCAACAAAAAAAAATTAGAATTTGGTTAAAAACACTTTGAACGACTACTGCACGTGAAAATCTTGGGTCCCAACGCTCTCCTTCCATTAGGGACGGACCAAATTTTTTTTCTTCAAATAGTGGCACCATTTGACTATAAGAAAAAAATATAAGAAAAAAGTGTCACCGTTTGACTACAAGAAACAAATATGTGTAATTTTTTTCAAACGGTGGTACCATTTGACTAAGAAAATGACACTAACAAAATTCAAACTTGGGTTTGTGATAGAATAAAAGATTTACAAACCAACTATAATAAATAAAATTTGTTCTCATTGTAGTTTCAAAATATATACGGTTACACACGATAAATTAAAACAGTTGCACATTTCACAAACATAAATTTTTTTATCTTTCGACGAAGGAATAATACGATCACACGTGCCACCTTAACCACGAAAGTAGGCCCGCCCCTTCTTTCGATATGGAGTTTATTTGAAATTGAAGTCGGTGATCTCGTGAAGGAGGCTGCTACGGCTATGAACACCACAATGCACGTCCCTCCTCCATCCTCGGCATCCCTTTTCTATTAAACCAACTCATCTATGCACAGCTTCAATTTCATGTATATATATATATATATATATACACTTCACCAATCCATAACCGCTGTTTAACTTTACCTCTTCCACTTCCATAACTACTCCTCACCAAACCATATATACATATATCTTTCTGTATGTATATGTGTATGTATATATATATATATATATATATATATGATATGAAAATGGAGTCCGATCGTAATCTAATGGACATGTAACAAGCCTACACCCGAACTAATCTTCTTTCTACCTTCCATAATTTCCTTTCTTTTACTCGCACTACGCTCCTCCATTTATGAACTTCACATCTCTCTCTTGATCTCTTTCTACTTCTTGATTCGGATAGTTATTGAAGCTCATCACATACCCACAAAGTACGTACACTACATAGTTGTCATTATGGATCGTTTGAGTGTTTTTGGCATCTGGGTTGCTTTCTTTTTGGTCATCCATGGTGGTGATGATCATCATCATCATCAAGTCAAGAGTTTGAGAAATAAGTATATCACTTGGGACGATATCGATATGCAAGACGATGACCAGAAGAAACCAGAGGGGTTCAGTTTTGAAAATGGAGATGAGAATGGGAGTAGAGTGATTGTGGTTGATCAAAGTGGTGAAAAGGGTCATTCACTTACTGTACAAGGTGCCATTGATATGGTCCCTTTTAACAATTCCATCAGGTTCAAAATCTACATCCTTCCTGGCATTTACAGGTTAGTTTGCATCATCATTCATTCTATGCACATATATACATATACATATACATATGCATATACATATACATATAGGACGGCTTTTAGGCGTTTTAACAAACTGTGAAGGTTTTTTTCCTTCCTTCAAAGCGTTTTTGTGTCATCACAGCTGGTCATGTGATGAACCCAACCTTATATATATATATACACCACGAAAGAAGAAATAATATTGGTATTGCTGGTGTAGAGAAAAGGTGATTGTTCCTGCTTCGAAGCCGTATATATCTTTCATCGGAGATCAAAATCGGGCTTCGGAAACCGTACTAAGCTGGAACGACAAAGCCTCCAACCGATACAAAGATGGTTCTGAACTTGGAACTTATCGAACGGCTTCAGTCGACATAGAATCCGATTACTTTTGTGCTTCTGGGATAACCATTGAGGTATATATATAGCTAGTAATACCAACAAATTCAAACCCGTATCTTTCTTTCATACAACGCACAATTATTTGGTCCTATAAATAACCGTATATTTGTTATGCAGAATACAGTAGTTGCAGAACCCGGAGGATATAAAATGCAAGCCGTGGCATTGCGGATTGCCGGCAATAAAGCCGTGCTTTATAGAGTAAGGATCTTAGGCAGCCAAGATACTCTCCTAGATGACCATGGATCTCACTATTTCTACCGGTGTTACATTCAAGGATCGGTCGATTTCATCTTCGGCAACTCGAGATCACTCTACAGGGTACGAAATTAAGCAAAGTCTAAAGAAAAACAATATATAAGATCGATCGATTGATGATCTTAGTGATTAACGACATGATTTTTACGATATAATTGATCAGGAATGTATTCTGCATTCAGTAGCCGATAAATATGGAGCGATTGCAGCTCATCACAGGAACTCAAAAGACGAAGATACCGGATTTTCTTTTGTCAACTGTTCGATAACGGGAAGCGGAGATGCGATCTACTTGGGGAGAGCGTGGGGGAATTACTCGAGGGCGGTGTATTCCTATTGTGACATTGATAACATCATAGAGCCTTCGGGATGGAGCGACTGGAACCAACCATGGAGACAAAGGTATATATTCGTTATGAATATGAAAATGGGGTACGTAACTTGGATATCGAATGAATGAATGTTGATATATGTGAATATAGGACGGCGGTGTTTGGAGAATATGAGTGCAGAGGAAAAGGCGCGGACCGAAAGAATCGAGTATCGTGGTCGAAATCGTTGGAGTTTACAGAAGCAATGCCTTTTCTTGATTCAAACTTCATTGATGGAGAGCAGTGGCTGAGACTATAGTACTCATTTTGGTTCTCCTGGTTAAGTGTTGTAGCATATATATAATTACTGTAAGTTTGAGAGACATCTGCATCTATAACCTATGAATATATATATATATATATATATATATATATATAAAGAGAGAGAGAGAGAGAGAGAGAGAGAGAGTGTGTAAGATACGAGGATCAAACGAAAACATGATCAAAATAAGAAAATACGAAAACGACCAGATCACGTCATTTTACACTGAAATCACATGTAATAGAACACGATCAACGCAAGGGTCAGTGGACAACTTGACCTGCGACCAACATTCACGTGAATCACATGTGATTTTAGTGTTTAGACGTGATTTTAGTCTAAAATCACATGTGAATCAACTGTTCTCGTGCTTTATTATTTGGTTACTTTTCTTATTTGAACCCCACTCTATATAGAGTCCTAATCATTTGCAAGCCTTTTAATTCATGCATAACAAATCAATCTCAACCGTCCATCTAGCATAATGATATCTAGTTCTATAAATATCTTGATAGATTTATGAAAGCATTGATCATAATCAATCAACTTTGATCATTTTCCATAAATATTCAGAGCATAATAATCTTGATGAGCAACACTAATGATCAAGAAAAGACTAAATACGCTCATCAAATTCGGAATAATTATCATTCAAATCATCCGCAAAAGATAAAACCGTTGGCTACACGAAAAACAACGGAAAAAAATCCCATCATCCCCCACCAAGTCGACAAACCAAGAATATGTGCATCGAGACCATTATGAACAAGTTAACAACCATACAAACCACCAGAAAGAATAGTCTTGAAAGCAGTTCAATTGTTCGAGTTGATGTTAAGTACCCACATTTGGCGAAGGGGTTGCTATCGGTTGGCCATAAGAATATCTCCATTGCCCACAAGCTCCGCATTTCTCTAACTTCACGTTGTTCTCCAATGTACAAAATTTGCACGACCACGCCTTATACTTGTCTTCCTTAGCTTTCGGTTTGTGGGTTCCGCATAGCTCACAGATTGGAGCTAAAGTCTGCCATAATCAAGCCATCATATGAGTTTCAGTATTGACACTACAACAAAATCGGCTTTATAAAACGTCAGATATATCTAAGCCCCTATTTGTTAGCAGCTTAATGAGCTTAATGGGGCACAGAGCTTACTCGATCAGCTATAAATAACTATTTGGTAGTGGCTTAATGATATAGAAAGTGGTAAGCTTCTGAGGGGAACTTTATGAAGAAAGCCAGATTTTTTCCAAATCTTCCCCTCCCGGTTAAGAAACACGTTTTTTGCATCTATGAAACAAACCCTCCCAAACAAAAACCTTCTGAATCTATATAGACGGACTAATCCACTTAGGGGCTGTTCAGTTCGTTTCCATTAAGACGTGTGGATAAAGTTATCTGTATGATATCATATAAGTTGTTGTTCGGTTGTTGTCCTAAATAAACAGTCTGAATGACACAAATAACTAGTTTACCCCTCAGTCTATATATTTGATAAATAACTGTACATTTTTAGATTACAACGTCCATCCAATCCAACTGATTTTTGCCTTCAATTGAGTCCAAATCTTCAAGTTCAATGATCCAATCTAACCAATTTTCCGAGCATATCACATTCAAACTCCTCATGATCAAAACTTGTTATCAAATTACAACCAAATAAGAAGATACAAGTTGAAAAAACAGTAAAGAAACACCCCTCAAATATCATTGATATCATTGATCTGAATAAGAAAAGCAACTCCACTCAAATAATTTTAAATATAAATCTTTCATATAATTTTGCACATAAACAGGTTGGTGTGGAGAAAGAATTGGAATTTTGGTCACCGTTTTCACATACCCAGTGAAGGAGACGATATGGGTTTTTTCCGGACCTAATCTAAAAAATGGGGGTTTTCCAAATCTACTTTATGAAGAAGTTTTTTCCAGATAACAAAAAACAAGTAGGAAGGAACACACAAATCTATGAACCCTAAATAGGAAAAACCAAAAATCAAAACAATCAAAAAATGGCAAGGAAGAAGACGACAGACTGATGATGGCAAGGAAAAACCAAAAATCAAATCAGAAATATGGAGGTGCTGAAACTTGAAATCGAAAACCATGGGAAGAAGAAATCGAAAACCATAGGAAGAAAAAACCATAAGAAGAAATCGAAAACCATAGGAAGAATTCAGTACCTGTGATGTGGAGAAGATGAGAGGATGATTTCTTTGGAAAAAGCCGTTTGAAGCAGTAATCAATACATGGAACTGGAAGCATGAATGGAAGCTTGGAACATGGAAACGTGAAAAAGAAGTGTGAACTGGAGGAGGAATTGGAAGCAGAGGGTTCTTTATTGCTAAGGGTAGTTGGGGAAATTTAGGGGAAATAAATGGCTGTGTGTAAAGGAAGGATGTTTTTAGCTGACCAATTAAGTCATCGACCAAGCGAATAAGCCACAAATAAACTAGTTATGGCTGAGCGAATAAGCCACAAATAAACTAGTTATGGCTGAGCGAATAAGCCATATAGGCTATACAGCCCACTAAGCCACAACCGAACAGCCCCTTAGGTTAATCCAAACAAGATGCAGAATTTACCAGTTTTACTAATTGATTGACCAAGAATCTAATGTGGTAAAATCCGAAATCACAAAATAATAATACAGTGTTAGACACTAACCGGGTTCAGCAATGTGCACGTCAAGCACGCCCACCCAGATGACTTTGTTTCACATTCTGTTTTTTGATTGCTAGTAGAAGCATCATCACCTGTTAAATCAATACAACTTTTCTCAAAATTGTGTCGTGAAGGCATACTTGCGTCCTTTTCTGTTCGGTGACTTCTTTTATTAGTTGATATGTTGTTGGATACTGATGGAACATCAGTTAAGTCAACAAAATTTGGTTCCGAATGACCATCACAGCACTGAGACCGCAGCTTATTGGTTTCTTGACGACTTCTTTTCTGAGACCTGGCATCTGTATCAGCACCTAGACCACTAGAGGACGCCGAGTTTCTTATATTTTGGTGCTGTTGTGGGACAGCAGCGCCACTTTCTTCTTCCTCGACTGTTTCCTCTAGGCCACACCATAGATCATCTTGAAATCTCCTTTCAGCAGCCATGGCAGCTGCTTGTACAGGAGTTAGGGAAGACATGATGGATTTATTGCCACCAAGGCGTTTAGGTCCTGATGGTAAAAGCGATCCTTGGCGTTTTCTGTTTTCTGCAGCAAGAAGTGCAGTCTGGCGGAGAGATGAGAGAGGAGGTTGACGAGAAAAGCCACCTAAACGTCTGCCGGGAAGATCAAACCCAGTTGCGGACCCAGAAATTCCTTCATTAATCAGCTGCTCACATTCCTACATGCCAATAATAGGCGAGAAAAACAGAAACATGACCAAGAAAGTAGCAGAACTACTCCCCCGTCCCAAAATAAGAGTCCACTTTCAAAAGTAAGTGCCTACTTTCCAATTATACTCTTAATTAATTAAGGGTACAATTGCCATTTTGTTAATTAAAAAGTGTAATAATAACACATACTATAATTGTGTGCCCTTTTCAACGTGGACGGTTATTTTGAGACGAAGGGAGTATAACATATATACATTTGATTGTCTTGCTTTCAAGCCTACTTAAACAAGTAAATAGTGTCCTAATCTCTTTAACCCGTTACACCAAAAGATGCAACATATAGTAATACAGATTACAGCATGAAACTGCAATTTCTATATATTATAGTAAGACCATGTTCGACAACCATAAACTAGCTTTAGTTTTTTAGCTTATTAAAAAAACCCGTTTGGTTAGCCATAATAAGTTAGCTTACAAGCTAGCTTTTTGAAAAGCTACCTCAACTCCTCAAGTATTGTTTTTCAATAAGCTACGGGGCTTTTTGCCACTTTTTACAATTATGCCTCAAATATTTTTCCAATTAATTTTTCAACATATCCTTTTAGGTTTGTTTATATTGTCATCTAGCTTATCAGCTGATTTACTAAACATGACAAGTTTATCAGCTAGTTTGCCAAACATAGACTAAAAGGCCTGTCTGTTAGCAGCTTAATGGGACTCGTAGCTTATTCAGTCAGATATACATGATTGTTTGGTAGTGGCTTAATAATATAGAAAGCGACTTATTCCGCAAGCTTCTAGGGGAAGTTTTATGCAGAAAGCCAAGTTTTTCTCTAAAGCCGCCCCTTCCAATTAAAAAACATGCTCATTCCATCTATGAAAAAACCACCCCAAACAAAAACCTTCTCAATCTATACAGATTACAGACAGATTAATCCACACACACCGCTCTATCCATAAAGGACTTAATAGAAAACCAACCAAACAACCCGTAAATGTGTATGCTATCATGCTTAATAGAGACTGAACACAATCTATTACGGTGTTCTATACCTCAACACATCAACACCTATACATAATATCTCATATACCACAATTTCATCCTCCATCCTTTCTGAAAACTAAGCTTGATCACATAGTTTCAAAGATTCTCTGTATCTCAAACTCACACAACAAAAAAACAACATAAAATGATAAAATTTGTTTTATCAATGAAGTTTCTAAAAAGTTTATGAGTGGAGAACTGGATATACCTTTCTGAGCTCATCCCAGAGTTTGTAGAAAGCAGCATTATGAGCACTAATGGCGTTATGACACAGTTCATGTAGCATTGTATCAAGAACTTCATCAAAAGGGTACCAATCCCAATCTGTATTTGGTCTTCGAAGTCTTAGCTTTACATGAACACCATGGGCGACGTTCAGACCTAGAAGACTAGGGTTTTTGGGACTGCAAAAACGTACATCTTTCCTCAATTAAACCTAATCATAATACGAGTCATAGTTCTACTGTTTTAACATTAAGTTATCATTTGAATATAATCTCCAATTTCAAATCAAAAATCTTCAAATCTGTAAAATGAACAAAATCAGGGATTTTAAAACCTAAAAGGAGTGTTACCACATTTCGGATAGAACTTTAACCCTCCATTTATGCTTGCGCATGATAGGTTGAACCTGTTTGGCGATTTTCTCAAGGAATCTTCCAGCCTCATCTCCTCCAACCTTCCTCTTTAACGTTCTGATTTCCCAGACCTTGTGAAGATCGCCAACATTCATCGTGAATTAAACCCTAAAACCCAAACTGAAATTGCAAGGATTTCGAATCAGATCCAGTAAATATGATTACATTCAATGGCCTTTCAGATTGACGATCCCAAATTGTGGGTTCAAATTTAGGGTTAACTTGGAGTTGGCGGGATACATCAAAACCTCCCCACCCGATGCTATCCCCTTCGATATTTCTTGATTCCTGCAAAAGAAAATTAATTAAATTACAAAAACAGTCCCTCAACTACAGATAACTACAAAAACAGTCCCTCAACTATAAATAACTACAAAAATAGCCCCTAAACTATAAATAAACCTTTAAATTTACAAAAACCTACTTTCTCCATTTTCTCTTAACACTTCTTTTGAGTTAACTAGGGGTGCATTTGGTACCTGGACAAAACACGACAGAATATGATAGGACATGACAACTGATTCATAGGCTTCTGACAACTACTTAAGAAAAGTTCTTATTCATTTTTTATCTCAAGAATGGTGGGAATTGTTCTACTGATAGATCTTTCGAGAAAGTTCGAATAGACAAACCCTGCAAATTCACTGGTCTTTACTCGGCCACCATCGCCAGTTTCGTCACCTCCTCCACCCCATTTACGTCCAGGGCTTTGTTCCGCTACTTCCCTCGTTTTCTTTCACCACTTCGTTGCTTGCGGTTTCTGTTCTACATCCATTTCAATTTATAACGACATCATTTTTCTATTCAGTCGTCATCCTCAGATCAATTATCTTGCATTAAATTTGTGGGTTGTGGACTTAACTTGGCAATTTATATAGAAATTGTCTCCTTTTCCATTGTAATAAAAAGATTTACGTGTTACAGGGCCTTCAAAAAGATTGGAACGTCTCTGAATTTGTGTGGTTCTCGTTGCCGGCTTCTTGTTCCCTCTGCGTACGTAAATGGACAAAACACACAAAACCGACACAACGACACCAATTTTTTCATCGATCTCATTAAAAGTATGCTTCTTTTCGTTCTATGTTCACAATATACATATATTCTTATACTTATATTATGATCTCCAAAACAAAAACCCATATGAAATCTAAGCAAACAACCCATCATGTATCCCAGATCATAACAACAGCAATCACCCCTATTCCCATTGTTACAGCCAACAATTTGAGGCTCGGAGTGTCGATTGAAGACGGCTTTTGTGCCTGATAACCTCGAAGTAAATGGTTTATCGATACATATATAAACACCCCACAAGCAATTCCCATCGATATCGCAAATATCCAATCTGCAACTCGACCCTGTGTCGTTGCATCGATGACGATCCCGATTGCGACTCCGATCGGACTCGAGATTCCAAAGGCAAAGGCGTAAGATGCGCATGATAAGAAAGGGCGGTCTGGAATCATTCTTAGAAGAGCAATTCCCATTGCAATGGCTGCAAAGATCTTGTGAAGAGAGATTGTCCATAGAGCTTTCCAAGCATCGGCTTTGGTGTCCGCGATTCCAATCGCGATTCCTTCGAAGACGGAATGGAAACACAATGCGACTATTAACAAGATGCTGTCTCCTAGTGAAGAAGCTGATGACATTCCAATCTTGATGTCTTTCGACTCTTTTCCATTCCTGTTGTTCCCTGTTATCAAAACGTTATTTTAAAACATAATTATAATTAAAAAAAAAACTTACAAATATTTAAATAAATAAAAAATGAAAACAATCTTGGACTAGAAAGATACCCATACAATGCAACGAGATACATTTCAATTTTAATGTTTCCTTTTATTCTTTGTCTATATAGATATAATACGGTTTTATGTGGTTTTGAGAAAACGATAATATTTTTTATTTTAAATAAAATATAAAGTTAAAGATATCTTAAAAATTTAAAATAAAATATATCAATATCAGTACAAAATTAACTATTTAAAAGCTCTTTTTTCTTTGTGTATTTTTTTATTCAATTTCTTTTATTATAGTTTAATTTAAATTTAATGATGAAGTAATTTATTTTTGATTTAATAATATATATTTTTTATAAAAATAATAATTAAGTATCCTGTTAGAATTCAATGATTATTCTAATTATATTTTAATTTTTTATATTTAAAATAAAATATTTATAATTTATTTAATTATATTTATCTGTAATTAATTAAACAAATTCAAATATGAAATTTTAATAAGTTATACATGCATTCAATTTATTTAATTTTAAATTTTAAGTATTATGTATTAATAAATAATATTTTACGTATATAAAAATATATTTTAATAGTTTTTATTAAAAACTTTAAATATTATCTCAAACACATGGTGAACGGATCGTGTGCTATTTCTTAATTGAGATTGCTACGTGCCAAGGTATTATTGGTAAATTTTAGATTTTTTTATCTTATCAAAAAAGTGACTTTTAACAGCAACAAAAAATATTTAGAGGTTATCTGTTGGAATCATTTGATATAGAATAATTAGATGGTCGAGGATCTCATGATATAATATAAAATGAAATATAATTGTTTGATAATTATTTACAATAAAATTATGATGTTGAATGGTTTAGAAAGACACATGATACAAAATTATTCAAAAAGTTTTAAAATCATCAAATAAACAGATTTTTTTTATCAAACAAAATTCACCACTTGGTGATTCAGATATTGTCTCTTAATAAAACTATTGTTAACTAAAAGTTTAAATATAATAAATGAAAGCATTGAAAACGTAAAAAGCGATGTTTGTTGAATAAAAAATGATGAAAAGCAAGATTAAAGAACAAACCTTGATGTTCAAGGTCATCAGAAGCAGACCCATTTGGCTGTTTTCCATAAACATAAGAAATGAGGCAATCAGCGAGCATAGTTAGCAAATAACCACCACAAGCCAGCATAAAAGCAAAAGGGTATTCAACGGTGGTCAAATCTTTAAAAGTTTCATTGGCATCACTGAGAAAATGCATCATGGCGGTTCCAAGAAACACGCCGCCGGCGAACTGGGTACCCAAAACCAAGAATCCCTCATTCCATTTGAAGAAGTACGGAGAAACACCACCAATGAAAGTCCCAAGAAACACCAGTATCAAACACCATATCTTTACAAGAATCAAGGATCTTGATCGGAGGTTGGGTTTTCCGGCCTCGGGTGCTTCGTCGTCGTCTTGATCACCGCCGCCGTGGGCGGAGGCGGAAAGGAGGAGGAGGAGGAAGAGAGAGATGAAGAAAAGGAAACGAGGCATGGTGGAATGGAATGGATGATTCCGGTGGGGATGTTGAAGATGATTGATTGATTGTACTACAGCTTTGTGTAGTACAAATCACATGTGTGTCTGGACTTGTTTGGTTTGCCGTTTTGTTCTGTCAATTCCAAGTCAATGTTTCTTGTCGTTAATAGTGTTTTTCATTTTAAAAACTAAAATTACAAAAATAACCTTTCTTTTAGCATTAAACATTAATTGGTGCGTATAGAGACCTAAACGTTAAAAAAAAATTGATTTTTAATTTTGATTTAAATTATGTGATACCTAGTTGTCGCCGGCTAAACATTACGGTGCTAAATGCGTAAGGGACCCACCTCACCCCACTTTAACTCTTATTTTATTATTATTTTTCTTTTGGTTTGCAGAATGATTTCTGAAGAAATGAAATCTGTCAAAAGAATTGAAATCTGGAAGAAATTAGAATGAAATGTTATCATGTTTGACCAAATGTTTACCATTTATTGATGAAAGCAGCTTTCGATCGAAGATGAAATCATTCGATTGAACAAAAGTGAAAAGAGCGGCTAGTTTAATAATAGTAAAAGGGTATTTATGTCATTTAAACATTAATGGATGGAATGGAATTCAATTTCATCACATTTACTAAGGAACGGTGAATTCCTCAAATTTAGGAATCTTTGGAATTCAATTCCATTTCGTGTGTAACCAAACATTGGAATGGAATTTGGTCAACATAATTGATCATTCGAATTCCATCAAATTCCACCCAACCAAACGCCCCCTTAATGCTTAATATTAAATAGAAGGTTAAAAATTGCAAATGATAAAATCTAGGGTTATTTTTGTAATTTTAATTTTTAGAATGGTTATTTTTGTCAACAAGGTGTTTTGTTTTCCTTTGAAGTAAAGTAATGTAATTCATAATGAAACGATTGATTGGATCAAGATTACATCAATGCAACAACTTTCTACTTGCTTTATCCACCTTTTCGGTGTTCGGTTCGGGTTATGGTTGTTCAAAAAACCGACCAATCCGGTTAAGTTAACAGAAAAATAATCCAATTTGAAACATTTAATATTTACTCGAGCTGTAAAATGTTTAAACTGTAGGTATTGAGTTGGAATTAGGTTACGGTCATTTGAACTCATCTCAATCAGATATTTTTTTTATTTCTTGTATTTATGTGATTTGTTAAGTCTCTCTTAGTATGCATATTAGATAATTAGGCCTTGTTTGTTTTAATTAAAAAAAACTCTTATTAGTCTTTTATGTCTGATACGTTAAGAGGTAAAGTTATCCAGACAATTTGTTTTTTCCAATTTTTCTGGGGTACTTATGTCTTATCGTCCTCTTATATAATAAGAGGTAAATCAATATGTTATTGTTCTTCATACCTTCAACAACAATGTTTCTCAATCGATCGTTTATCTTAACCGATCCTTACCAAGTCAATCCCCACCTCTCTCAATTGATGTACTTTTATTGGATTTGTGTGTTAAATATCGTCCATGACATACTATCGTTTATGTCAAATTGCATGAAAAAATAATGTACTTTAATTTTATTCTTATTTTGGGTAACGTACTTTCAAAGCTTTCATTTTGGTATCTAAGGTGTAAAGTTTTAAACATTTAACTACCTGGGTAAATGAATGAAGACTAATCTTAGATTAAAATGAAAGTTTTGAAAGTACGTTATCCAAAATAAGAAATCAAGTTAAAGTACGTTACTTTTTCATGCAATTTGCTCTTTCGTTTTATATGAAAGCTAATTATATAATTTAGATGTAAATTTCGTAATGATGATGAATAAATATATGAAACTGTATAAATTTAACTATGACTTCAACACTATAATTTTCTGATGTGTAAAATAAATAGTTTAAAAAAAATTCAAATATTAATTTACAAAAATAGACGGTTTTATCGATTTTGCCTTCAAACTTCAACACCACCTCTTACTAATCAGAAGTGAAATAAGAATTCAGACTTCAGCATCACTTGTTAGTAATCAAAAGTAAAATAAAACTTTAGATTTCAACATTTTTTAAAAAATAAACAATATCTTACACTATCACGTAATCTCTTCATATGCATATATTTTTCACTCTTTTCTCTATATGTATATAACTCATTCGTATATATGTTTTAGTAAATGTGAACATATAAAAGCAAGTTGGGAATTGTAGTTGAATGTGATATACATAAGAAATATGGATACATCGTACCAAATGATTGAGTATGAAAAAACATTGAGCAGAGAAACACAACATGTTCAAGATAACAAACATATGATTATATTTGAAATCATACTGGGTTGTTGGTATTTCATAGGATTTGTCTGTAATGATATTATAAAACACCGTTAAAAACATTAATTTTGTAATAATCAGTTAATAAAAGATAGTTTAATTACTTTTATAGTTATTTAAATTTTGATTTTGTAAATTATCTGAATTCAATTCCATTCCAAATTCTAAAATCCAAACACACCAAAAAAATTAACTCTTTCCATGAAATCAATATTTAAGTAAACTAGTTGATCCTGGCCGAGTCAACCGTGTCGACTGAATCAACACCGTTTAGATGTGAATTTGAAGAGCACGCCATCATCGCATACTAACAGAAAATAATTTATATGGACCTTTTGATTCGACATATCAATTCCGTATTAACTAATAAACCCACCCATTCTACAGTATTTTTATTTGATATTTTGTAAATTAAGAATACATTAAAATTATCAATTAATTATACTTTAAAATAAATATGACTTTAAGAATTAAATATTTTAATTAAAAAATTATATTTTATTACTTTATAAATGTAAGTAATTAATTTATTGGTGGGGGATAGAGATAGAAATTTGAATCGTTACGTTTGGTTTGGAAAAAGGATGGCTCAAATTAGAAAAATGGTCCCTCACATTAAACCCCATCTCTATCTCTACCATAAATTATATTCATTTATTATTACTAGAATGATACTCGTACAATACAGCAAAATACATCTAATTTTAGTGTTTTATTTTATTCTGTCTTCATCGATGTTATAACATGATTTTATGTAGTACTGTAAAAATGACAATATTTTTATTTTTTGAACAAAATATAAATTTGAGTGTATCATAAAATTTTGAAAAAGAAAATATATCGATTTTAATATCAAATTAAATATTTAAAAGTTCTTGTCTTTTTTTTTTGTAATTTTTTAATTCAATTTTTTGTTATATTTTAATTTAGATTTAATAACGAAGTAATTTATATTTGGTTTAACAATATAATTTTTATAAAGATAATAGTTAATTTTTTTTGTTAGAACTCAATAATTATTATAATTATATTTTAAAATGAGATGTTTATCATCTATTTGATTATGTTTATTCACAGTTAGTTACACGAATTCAAATATTGAGCTTTAATAAGTTGTATTTACGCACAATTTACTTGTAATCTTGAATTTTAAGTAATATGCATCAATAAAAGATATTGTCAAATGCTTTACAATATAGTATAGATAAGTTATTTTTTTTATTTAATGCTAACAAGCTTAAAATTAAGATTATTTATAGAGCAAATTATGTTTTTCGTCCATGTGGTTTTAGACTTTCAGTTTTCATCTCTGTAAATTTAATTTATTACTTTTTTTTTAATTCTTATGATTTAATATTTTTTTTGTCACTGTGGTTTACAATTCATATTTATTTTTAGTCTTCATACTTAAAAGTAATGTTTTGGACTTAGGAACGAAAATAAAAATGAATTACAAATTATAGGGATGAAAACCGAAAATTTAAAACTACAAGGATGAAATCCATAACTTTAAGCAAACCATAGGGATGAAAAATAAAATTTAACGAAAGAATTATCTATAAGGAGTTTTCTTGCATTTTGCACACAATTATGGGAGGTTTTTTACGCTTATATTTTCAATTAGGGGTATCAGATGGTAAAATCAAAAACCAGATCGGATTTCGGATACAAAAATCAAGTCTTAATTTTTGGATTTCGGATTGCTTTGAGTTCGGATTGGTCGGTTTTTGGGTTGAGGTCGGTCGGGTTTAATTATAATGATATATATATATATATATATCCAATCGATTTAGATGATTGATAAATCGATAATATGCTTAGAAATTAAAAAATGAAGGATACAGTTACAGTAAAAACCAAAACAAAGTTTCATAAGACTAAATTACTTGAGATGACTGTGCCCATAAGAAATCGCGTAAGGTTGAGAACCAATGAAATGAAGGCCCATGAAAAGTTATACACAAAAACCTCAATTATAAATCAATATATTTGATTTATAAATCCTATAACTTTATTTAAATATCAATCATATAAATACTAGAAGGGTACTCGTGCAATGCAGTAAAATACATTTTGATTTAATGTTTTATTTTATTTTTTTGTCTCTATCAATGTTATAATACGATTTTATTTGGTTTTGAAAAAACAATAATGCTTTTTTTAATAAAATATAAATTTAAATCTACATAACACTTTGAAAAAAAATTCAATATGTTAGTATCAAATTAACTATTTAAAAGTTATCTTTTTTGTGTAATTCTTTTAATTCAATGTTTTTTTTTTAATTATAACTTAATTTAGGTTTGAGAAAGAGGTAATTTATTTTTAGTTTAATAATATAACTTTTTATAAAGATAATACTTAAGTATTTCGTTAGAATGATTATCCTAATTATATTTTAGAGTTTTTTATATTCAAAATGAGATGTTTATCCTACGATTATGGGTATATGTTATTAGTTACACAAATTTAAACATGGAGTTTTAATAAATTGTACTTGCACACAATTTAATTGTAAACTTGAATTTCAAGTAACATGTATCAATAAACAGTACTCCATGCATAAAAAAATGGTTTTTAAGAGTTTTCATTAACTGTTTTGTAATATAGTATAGATAAACCGTGTATAGTACAAATTGAACCATTTGTTGGTAATTTATATTCCTAAATGGAACCTCAGACAATCGGATTTGATTGAACAAACGTGCATATATTGCATACGAGTTGCTTGGATAAGCTGTGAGTAAATTACTGACAAATAAATAACTGCGA